ACCTAGTACATGGTGGTAGTTACATGCCCAGAAATTCTTGTTGGGTATTTGATTCTTGATTGATTTCTTTGTCAGCTTCAAGAGATATTCAGGAAAAAAAATGAAAAGAGAGAAACTAAAGGAGATGAAGAAAAGCGTGCATTGCTGGTAAGAATACTTAATAGTTTCAGGTGGGTTTTCTAGGTGAGAATTATTTTATTCATGTTGAGAAACAGTAATTAAAGTTTGTAACTTTGGAGCTATCCCTTTCTTGAAAACTTTCTGAAGTTCTTATGTAGAAAAATTGCTTCAGTATTTATATGCATCGATATCAATATTTGTATTAAATATTGATATTAAACATCTGTATCCATAATCACATTCATTAAATCATTTTCATCCATATTGTTATTTGTGAGATTTGAAGGGTATATCATGTAATAGATTAATACAGATCATTATGCATGTGAAAATTTAAAGGTGAATTGCAAAGATTTAATTATAATGTGAGTGAATTTAGTGGTATTATAACATCATGACTGTTGAAGCAAATATGAGCAAATAATATGGGTTTTTTTTTGCATTCTTAGAAATATATATTATAGATTCTTCTTCTGGGATGCATAATATTTTCATATTATTCTGAAGTTAGAGTTAAGCAACATTTGCTTCCATCTTCCTACCAGTTTTCTTTTTGTTTGTCCCAAACATCGCAGCCTGACCATAGGCCAAGTTTACATAATAAAAATAACAGACAGATACTGAGACCTTACTATCACACACTACACTAGGTAGTTTGCATTCACTTTCTCATTTAATCTACCCAACAATTCTCCTATCCATAATTGTAGATGAGGAAACTGATAATTGGAAAGGTTAAGTATTTTGTCCAGACTTACATACCTATTAAATTGCAAAGCCAAAGAGTTGAACCCATGTCTGACCATCTGTGAAACCTGCACTTTTATCTACTGTACCACATTTCTTCAGCTGGTACTTCCGTACCAGAAACATAGTAAATTTTGTTGGCATATAAATGGTAATTGCTTCATTTTTCAAATTAGTGGCCCTGTGCAGTTTAATTGTT